ACCCTCTGCTGTGGTTTTCTGCAGAAAACCCTTTTTATTTAAATTAAAAATTTGTCAAACTATTAAAAAAAGTGTCATGCCACCTTTCCATCGCTAAACAATTATCATGCAAAAACTTAAGGAATAATATTCAAAATGTAAATTCTATTTCGTGTTTTTAAATTCTTTGAAATAAACAAATTCACAGCTATTTCAAATTGTATATGAACTTCTTTCTTTATTATCACATAAAGTAGACATAAATATAAATAAGAAAGCTCCCAAAACAGTGAATAATATTCGAGACGTTAAGTTATGCCAGGTTGTTTGCGAACAGTAAAGCACGCAAGAACTATTTGTTTAGGGACAGGAAAGCCTTTTTGAAGTATTTTAGAAGGAAAACTGACTATTGAAAAACTTTTATATCATCTATATTTGACTGGTATTCATCTGTATTGAGTAAACCACGAAAGTCAAATATGCAGCCAGCTTATTCGTTTGGCATCGAACCCGAGTCAAACTCTCAGTCAGCCTCCAGAGGTCTTAACCACTCAGTAGCGGCGTAGCTAGGGTGGGGCAAAGAGGGATATTTGTCCCCAGGCGCAGCGTCCCGGGGGCGCCAAACTGATGCTACGCAATTTTATAATGAAAGGTTTCCCATTCTTGACACACAGAAGGGGGCACAAAATTTTCATTTACCCCCAAGCACTGTAAATCCTAACTATGGCTTTGCCACTCAGCCATTCGTTAAACTAATAACTGAACAACCAGTTTTTCGAAAATTATTATTTTCACAAAAACAAAAGTTTACTTTTCGAGTTAACAGCAAACATATTTGGTTAGGACAATAATAGTTTTCATCCTCTCACTTTTGTCTCTAAGTACAGTCACAATTGTTGCGTTATCATTAAACACAAACAATTTCTTTAAAAATATACCAACTCTGGACTCAACCGCTTATTTATATAAGAAAAATATGATGTGTCAAGTAAATGACTTCCCACCAGTTCCATTTTAAAACATGGTTTGGTATATGTGATCACGGCAAAGCCTCGAGGGCTATCTGCCTTATAAGAGAGAAGCCTTCGTGGAGAATCTTTTTAAGAAAAACTGGACACATTTTACACATGGGGAGAACCTCGAAAACGCTCATGCAGCCAGTCCGTTTGCAGGATTCGAACTGCAGACCGAATTACTAATGTTCAGCCGCTTGTTCACCACGAACAAAATGTTTACCGCTCGGCCGCTAGTGGGGGAAATGGTGCCCTCGTTGGGACTCGAACCTGGACCTCTCGAATACGCTCCGGTGTGCTACCATTATACAAGGAAGGCGTTAAAATATGGAAAGAGATGAATAGCTAGTAACGTTAAGTGAAGTATGCCTTTCATTTGATCGTTTGTAAATAAAACCTGATAAGTTTATGAATTTTGTGTCCAAATTTAATTATAAACACTACTCATTTTTATTATTCTGTTCTCGCATACAATGGATAGTGATAATTATATCCTTATGTTCACATTCTTTCTCAAGCTGTGATTGGAAAATTTGGCATCGATCATAATATATCCATTGGTCATATGGTATTTCGAATTATACTATTTTGAATTTCCATTAGAGTGTTAAGTTTTGCCATACAGTTCCTTTTCAGCATTTTCTAAGTTTACGATATCAGTATTCAGTTTTCTTCAAATGATGGCCAACATTTTTAATGTATCTTTTTTAACTTTATTTATTGAACATTTGTTTCTTCGCATCATACGTCACATAAGAATTCATCAATGAAATCACACAACTTTTAAATATCTTTATAATTTTCAGTTAATTATTTGCCATATATTTCAATTTACTATATTATTTATAGGTGCTGTATTATTTATTTTAAAATATAACATATCAATAACGTTTGATGGCGACATCCTTTTATTTGAAACGTGACTAGACATAAAGATGAAACGAACACAAACTTTAAGGCTGGGGATTAATACATTCGAACTGCTTCTGAACGAGCTCGTCTTCATAATGTTGCATTCTCGCTTCATTTAATATATTTACGCGAATACATTTATGTATGTTCATAAATATCATATTATGTTCTCAATTAGTTATATGTTTTAACTATCAAATTTGAGAAGTTTCAGACTATTTCAAAATACATATTTCAGAAAGCGTGTTCTAATTATCAAGTAAAGTAACCAGGTTTAGCCAAAATCTAAGATATCTAATATATCTCTTTGAGAGTATCGAAAAGTCTGAAGCACTAAAATTGAAAGGTTTTGTATTATAATTTAACATTGTTTTCCATTAAAAGCTTTTGTGATCTTAACCTCTTTCGGTTGTCCAAATTTACCTAAAATATAATCAAATATTTATATGAATGCTGTGTGATGTTGGGAGGCCCCAACTTGTCAGCAACAGTAGTAGTGACTGCTATGAACTTGAAATTACACAAACCCTTAAGAAGGGTTTAACTCCCTTTTTATTTCACTTTAGAAATCACAGTTGCGTTCACTTGACTCTCACGAACTACGCCGACCCGGCGGTTAAACAAAAATAGAAAAGTACAACAAAAAATAAATGACAGGATGAATAACTAACGAAGTCACTATCTACGAGGCTCTATAATCGTAACTATCTTAACCGCGTTCTAAGATACAGCTAACTTTCTGATTAAGAATTTGAAAGATTCAACGAACTGTCGAAATAGGCACACAAGCCGAAACGCGCGGTTCTTAAACTTTCTACCAAGCAACCTTCCCGCTCGTGATTCAAGAAGCAAACTTACAATCTCGCTTCCCTTCTATTTAAACTCAATTACTTCTGCTAAAAATTTGAATACTCTGCGCGTTCTACTAAAATTTACATACTGTGGCATTGGCAATTCTAGGGCAAAGTAAAGGCTTGACAGGAAAGATACCTTAAACTTTAAATAAATGTTAGTTAAAATAAATATAAACCCTATAATGAAATACAGAAAATAAAAGGTTTTGGAAGTTTGATATCAGAGTGACCATGAACAAAACAGTCATTACACGCATACAAACAGGGAGACACGCATCATTATAAAAATAGTTAAAAGATGTTTATAGGAGCCCTAATTCGTACTTATTCACTAAAAATTCGTAGCCGAATTTTTGGCCGAAAACATACCTACGTGTATGAGTTATCGAAGAACAAAAATAATAAGAGTCCTTTCTTACCTTGTAAACATCGGTATGCTATTTCCGTAAAAGTTCAATTTGTTGTCAAAATACTTATGTTAGAACAATGCCATATACAAATCTAATATATATCCTAAGTCTCGATTTCTGAGTCATGGAAAACTAAAGTTAAATTTAGACATTCGGTCCTGTAGAACGGGAGATATAGAACTGTTCCCCCTTTTTTTGTGCAAGGTTTACAATGAAAGCAACATTGTAATCTGAAAACAAGAGTAAACAACTGCATAAAATTTTGAGATAGATTTTTCTTAAGATTTAATGCAATAAATCATAACTATTTAAACTAATTTGTACATCTTATAAATTTTAGAAAGAAAAGAGAGAAAAATAATGTTTGTGTGGAAATATTTCAATCTGTGCATTACAAATTGATGAAAAATTACTATAAAAATTTCCATTTAATATTAATCATTAAGGATTGCTTAAAGATTCATTTAATTTTACATTATTTTACTTCAGAATTGAAATAAGCCAACTTTATGCACTGATACTGTCAACAGTTGTCCAAAATAATTTATACTTTCTTATTTGTATTCCGATTAAGTTGGTTCATAGCTGAAAATATTCATCTTTCCAGAAAAACTGTTTTGCAGTTTAAACTGTGAAATTCTTAAAGCAAAACTATGCGCTTGAATAAATTTGTTTATTACTTTTTTTAATTTCCCAGTTAAATACTTTAAACTAACAGAATCAGCAAGTGCAGAATGCCAGAAAATTTGCAGATGTTGCATTTGCAAAACTCATTATATTTGAAATAAGTTTACTCACTTGGAATTATTCATATTAGCTATTCCGCAAAAATTAATATTTTTGCACCATATGAAGAAAATGGAATAATTTGAAGCCATTCCACTAAATGACCTAAGTTTTAAATGCCAAAACATATTGTGTATAAATAAAATACAACTTTGTCCTTCCTTTTAGAATAAAGGTAGGTTCACGGATCCACCTGATAAAATGCTTATTTCTGAAAGCTATTTTTGTTAGCAGAATGTATATTGGATTTAAAGGAAACGATTATAGTAAAAAAAAAAAAACCCCTCTTTTTGGAAGACTTTAGTTTATTAGTTTTTTAGTAAGTTCGAAATAAACATAAAGGAAATTACAATAAGTGTAAAATAATTTATGTAGATAAATTACTTTTAAAATTCATTGTAAAAGGTTTGGCAGTCTCGCCTTAACGTTAAATTACGCTGCATAAGCTGAATATAAATGCTCTTTAATTACAGTTGTTTTTTCTTCTTCTTTTTCATCTTTATGAAATATTTGGCATATAAGATTTCTCTGTTATAATATTTTAATCTTATGCAAACCAAGTTGAAATGTATTATTACAAATTTTATAGAATATAACATGAACGGCTTTACTAAATTGCAAGCTTTGCCGGAAAAATAAGATTACAGTGGCAAGTCTACTTAACATTGATATCAATGGCTATCTCTCTAAATTTGCGAGATACAGACAAGTTTGGCGAATGATTTATATCGCCAAACTTTGCGACAATTTGACGACATTTTGGTCAGTTCCTTGTAACATTGTTAATTGTAACTGGTACTGCAACTGAATAATTGTAATTGATCCTTATATGTAACTGTAACCGTATTCGGCCCTTATATGTAACTTGTACTAGATATATAGACTGTCTATGTCTTCCAGTAATTTCGAGAAGTGGGGAGTATATATTCGATAAATAATATTTTAAATTTCGTTCATTACATATTTTGATATTTTTTATATAATTAATTATTTTCAATGAAATTTGAACCCTGTAAGATTGTAAAATATTTTTCCTTTATAGTTCGAGGACCTATGTTTGAGTATGAACCACCTCCGAGGATCGATTTTGACAATTCAACAGGAGCTGTTCTACGATGCGCTGCTAAAGGGCAGCCAACACCAGATACTTGGTGGGAGACCAAAAATGGATCTGCGGTGAGAGGAATACCTGGGCTGCAACAGTTGCGTTCTGATGGATCTATGGTATTCTCTCCATTCTCCCCGCTACAGTACAGAAGAGAGGTTCATGATGCTGTTTACAGATGTGTTGCGGCTAATGTTGCTGGAAAATTAGGAAGCAGAGAAGTTCGTGTTAGAGCTGGTAAGATTTATTTCATATTCTGGCTTCAATGCATACAATGAATTTAATTTTTGAAAGAACCTTGAAATAAGCATTAGCATTCTCGGATTAAAAACAACTTTTTATCGCTTAATGCTAATATCAGATATACAAAAAGTATGTATTTAAGGTATCTGAACACGTTAAAAAGGCCAATTTTGGCATAAAATGGCAATTTCCTTTTATTCGTTCATTGGATAGATTGTGTATTTAGCTTTCCAAAACTGGTCTGCTTTTGTTTCTACGTTAATTAGAAACTGAGATATTAAGGATTTCATAAAGACGCAAACACCGGAAATGGGCATTTAAGTCACCGAAAGTGCGCATTCAAAGGGTTGACAAGAGCTAAAAATGGACGTAAACATTTTTTTACCTTTGAAACATAATGTAAAGAATTTTAAAGAGAGGGAATTAATATGATCTGTAATCTGCGCAGCAAAACGAAATTATTTCCAATAAAATGCAATACTTTAATTGAATGCGTTATGTCCTCGTTAGCATATGTGTTTGATTTGATTCGAAACATAGCATACTGCAATTAGATTTATAACTTATTCTTTGATTATTTTTAATAATATTCGAATTAAAAGTATAATAAAGGGTGATAAAAAATCGATGTCGTGTTTGTAAACGATAATGCGTACGGAACAAATTTATGAAACGGGTTGCGAAGGAAACTGAGAATAATATTAATAAAACAATTCCCATCGAATGAGCTAAGATTAAAATGTTTCTCATCGGCAGGAGATGTTTTTGAAAGTGATTTGTTATGTAAAAGATATTTATATTTCAGTAGTGTCACTATCAACGCATAAGTCATATTCAGAAGCTCCGTTCCAGAGTTAGAATTGAAGGGAAAACAAAAATATCTTGATAGAAGGGTCAACGTCGCTCACTAATGGATGTCTTTATTGACAAACTTAAAAATGGATTTAGAATCAGGTGACGGATCGGGGAATGCCTCCATAGGTTTATCCTTGGGTGGTATGAGGGAAATAAAATACCTCCCGCGGACCAACAGGCAGAAGTCCAACCTGTTCGAAGCTCTGGCAGCTTCTTTTTCTATGAATTGTACAAAATGGTGGAGTTAATATGTTTTACAAAATTCAAAGCACTAATACGTACGTCATTTAAAACACTTTTGTAAGAAGGATAGATCAGGGATTAAATGGTTTCAAAAATATATTCGCGTTAGAGCCTTTGTGAACATGATGTATATTAATGAGTTACCTTCCATTCAATGACTTTAAAAGCTGTTATTGTTGTTACTAATGTTCACTTTCTTGATCTATATTCAGCCCAAGCTCACGAAATTCCTCGTGTCAATAAGCTCAAGTTTATTCCTGTCGTTGGCAACAGTCTTGAACACCTTGCATGTGACAATGCGATTTAGCTCAGTTCTGATCCCAATTTTGATGGAGATCATCCCGGGTGGGAAGGGGTTTGAGGGACTCCCATTCCTCTTTCTCAACTTTTCGAGAGGAATTTTGGCTCGCTGAATATTTAGAGAGTTCTATGCCGCACACATACTATACATTTACAAGCCACTATGCCTTCTCCGGGATTCGAACCCAGGCCTTCGGCAAGACAGTCAGCGACGCTTACCACTATACTAGTCGGGCTGTTACAAAACTGTAAACAGTATTTATGAATAATACCGAAGACGTGGAACATTGGTATGTTGCTATGGGTATCAGATTCAATGGATATTCATATGTAAAACTGGTATTATTATTTGGTGACTGGTAAGGGCGAAAACGTTTTCTTTAAAGTAACGTATATTGTATCAATGTAAAATGTTTACAAAACTGCTGACTTATTTGAAACAAATCACCGAAAACAAATTAAATTAATGCGATTTTATTTTGACAATTTCAAGTCTAAATACTACATTAGTATCATGAAAGTTACTGCACCTTCTTTTCATAAATTTGGTACATGAAAACAATGAGGTTAAAAGTATAAAATTATAATAAATATTACCTGTAATAATGTAAATGTCACAAAATAGCTGTTTTTAGAATGTCAGTGAGACGTAGAAGTACTAAAAATTTATTTATTCAACCTAATAAACAAAAAATATTATTACGCTTCTTATATCTAAAGTAGAACAAGCTATAACCAATATGCGGTTAAAACTGCTAATGAACGAATTGCTTAGACAAATTCTAAAAACATCTAAGAATTTCCAACCGAAAGAAAAATGTTAAAGGAGCTGTATTAATACATCATCTATGTAAATGATGGTGTGGTGTATTTAATTATGGCAAAGCACACTAGGGCTATCTGCCTAAGATGAGAAATGCCTTCGTGGAGGACTTTCTAAGGGGAACCGGCTCGTATACACGTTACACATGGGGAAAACCACGAAAACACCCATGCAGCCAGCCCGTTCGCGGGATTCGAACCTCGGACCGAACTACCAGTGTTCAACCGACTTTACCGCTCGGCCGCTGGTGGGCAGTAAATGATGGAAATTAGGTTACCTTCTACAAAGACTTAAGCATCGGATAAACAGCGCCATATCTTGCCTTTGGTTTATTTTACTCTTAAGCAGAAGTTTATGGAAATACATAACTCACGCAAAAACTTTCAATATAAGTTAAACTTTCAGCTCTTTACTTGAAAAATCTCCTTTCCATTAATCACTCTTTGCACGCAGACTCAACCAGGTAATTTAGGAGAGGAAGTTGATAGAACCTAGGATCTACTTACCTCTTGACGAATGCAGTAAGCAAATCTTTAGTACAATTAGTTTAGTTAATGGTCAATCCAGATATTTTGTTTTAAGATTCATAAGTTTTGATAGTTGCACTTGCAAAGCCGTTAGCCTGATTATAGATAACTTCCGAATTTTTCCAATTCTGCAGACCGAATACAGTATTTACTCGCGCATTTCCTACATTCTTTTTCTACCAAATTTATGGTGCGAACGTCGAGAGGGAAAATGTTTGTGTATAATTAATTTTTGATTGACTCGATTGCAGTAAGAGAAATATAAATGAAAAGTATTCATGAACAAAATACTGGTAACTATCACAATATTATTTAGTTAAAAAAACAAGTTCCAATCAACATACGTTGTAATATAAACATTGCATTATCTAACAAGATATTTTCTTTCGACTTGCGGTATATTGAATCTCCTTCTTTTACTATATTGCACTGCTAAATTCTAGTCTTCAAATTAATAAATGCTCTTGGAAGTTTTGTCTGCATCGTCCACTGTGGTTTGTACCGTTCAGTTTTTCTTACACCATGCAATGATCTTTACAGTCAAATGGAACATTTGATATCCCCATTTTTTTAAAGCTGGTCACTGTTATAATAATTCATCAGCAGAGCTCATGTACCCAAATTTCTCGATCATATCAATTAGTAAGACTAACCAATCACTACATGGACAAATCTATTCTAGAATTTACGGTAGATAACGTTCTGAATTCTGTAAACGAGTGGAAAGTTATTTAAATAATTAAAACTTTCCAGAAACTTGTTGTAAAGAGCTAGGGAGAAAAAGGCGAATGTGAGTGAATGCGGTAAACCTGTTTAAATTTGGATATAAAACCACGAAGAGTTATTCAACAAAACTTCATCTTATTCAATTTTATGTGAAGGTCTTAATTTAGTTAGAGAGATAATCTGTTGATATCTTCAATGTCATTAGGTGAGTGAACTAACAGAAAAGATTAAGCTGGGTGTCAACTAAAATAAATAAAAAGGCAAAAATGCAAATTTAGAGAAAAACGTGTACGATTGCTTGAAATTACGCGTTTGAAATTTTCATACAAATAAGTATGTGTCGTTTCTACAGGATATGTATGACAGGCGGTATTATCCTTCACTGGTGGTTCTTTCTCGTTCCCTTTCCACAATAACTCATTTCTGACCCAAATGAAATGCATCATTTCATCAGCATACGTGGTAAAACTGTACCTTTAAGTTCTACTGGAGTTCCAAAACCATAACAAAAAGATGCACTACATCATCTGAGTCCATCATAAGCAATGAATGACAAACAACTCATTAACAATAAAATATCGTTGAAAGATCATGGAAGCCCCTTGATTGCATACCCCAAGCTAGAACCAGTAGTCAAATTAGAACCCGGTCTGCCATCTTGTAGCATATTTCGGCATTAACCTTGATATTTACTAGGTATGGGGAGCAGTTTCTCGAGCTAATAACGGAGTTTTTGGCAAAGCAATTCATGAAAACAGCATTAAAACTTTAAAACGTTCAGTACACATTTTCACTTAAAGTGTTATTAAAGTTATTAAAGTGTGGGACCTCAATGTGTAGGTATTTTGGAATGAAATTTGATATCGCATTTAAAACAATATAATAATTCAGGCAATATCAGTTTCAAAAAATGTTTTGTTCCACTCTAATGTGTAATCGTTGTCACTGTGTACAGCAGGTTCACTTCTCACGGTGTCCGCCGAAAAAATTGCGGACAAAAACGTCGCGGAGAAAACAACACAAAGCGAAAACATCGCGTTACAATATAGTGTGGGAGAAAAGAAAGCAAAGAGGAAACATCGCAGTTCTAAAACATCGTGGTACAAAATATCGTAATCAAAAATAAAGTGGTTCAGAAACTTCGCAGTTTAAAGACATCGTGGTCGAAAATATCGGGGTAAAAAATAAAATACCTACAAATCATCACATGACGATAATATCACACACATGCGCTTTCAGTTTCTAAAAGTTGTAAATGCATGATCGCATAATGATCTGGAAGCGCAAGAAAGAAAAACGGTTTGTTTTAATTCTATACTTCATATTTTTGAATGAACTAATAAACTTTTACTGAAAAAATAAGGGGGAAACTAAAACATTTAAAAATTGAAAATGAGTAGAAAATTAATGAAACTTATAGCACTTAATAGAATTTTAAATTTACATAGTTAATTAACAAAGGTCACTAATAAATTAATCTTTTTTAGAAAAGTTTACTGATAACTATTTTATGAAGAATA